TTGCAAGAAGATGCAAAGCATATAAACTCTAAACTGCAACGCACCAGGCATGTTGGCGGGACCATGCATTTCTGCACTAATATGGAAGGAACCAAGTCATTTAACTGTATGAATGGTTGCTGCTTCATATCTGCCTTATTCGCTCCTCAGCTTAAACCATCGTAAGCTCTACATGAAGAACCCAGGCTGGAAGGCACAATCATATGCTTTTGCACTAGCCTTGAAGTACTGGGGTCGTTAATTGCATGAATGTTTGCTGCTTTACATCTACTTTTTGCGCACCCTAGCGTAAATTATAGCAAACTTCGCATAAAGAAAATGAAAAATTTCCGTTTAACAGTCGTTCTTTAAAAATGGCTTAGCTGTTCAGCAAGCAATTTCCCTGTCGAAACGTTTAAGTGCCCCTGCTTGAGAACCATGCATACTTCGAGACTGAGTTTGAAATATTTAAGTTGTATTTGGAAGGAGAACGGTCGTCTAAAACTTCAGATTTCTAACTTTCCTAGTTCCTGAGTTAGTAATTTTACAAACAATACTTTCACATGCCCATAATTAAGTATCAAGCGCAGGGGGAGCTGAATTTTAAATCTTTAGTTCATACACGCACAGAGAATATACCTGTAAAGTTACAGCTCTCAGTCCTTTTTGAACCAAAAGAGAATATCGCTGTAAAGTTTCAGCTCTCATGTGGCTTTCCTGCCGGAAAATCTGCATATTTTTTTTGTCCGCATGTGGGACCCAGGCGTACGAAAGTGATAGCATTAAAACGAAAGGGTCGCACAATCGGTGGGCGTATACTTCCAAACTTTCAGCTTTCTAATTTTTCTGTTGAAAGTAGGCGACATAATGTGCGAACACTCACACAGCTTTTTGCCGATATGCGTTTTTGCATTTGCATACATGCAAAAACGCATTTAAAAAAAGCAATTTCCGCCGAACGATCGTTCTTTGAAAATGACTCTCTCTAAAACTTTTAACGGCCCATATGTAAGAACCACGCAAATCTGGAAGCTGAATTTGCAATCCTTTAGTTACCCCTGGACCGAAGACACTCCTTCACAATTTCAGCTTTCCAGCTTTTGTATTTTCCGAAGTTAGCAATTTTACTGCCAAAAATTTTTGATGGCCCGTACATGGGGATCACGCATGCCAAGAAGCTGAATTTGAAATCCTTAAGCTCA